GTGCATACTGGAATTAATTTAAAAGCGTCTTCTAATCTTATGGTTACTGCCATTTTTTTATTACGTGATTTAGATATAAAATCTAACGACTGATGTTCAAAACTATCTGTGACTTTGCTACGTGTGACTACTCCTAATTGTGGACTTGGGGTTTTACTTGTGCTACCTACTAACTTGGTATCTACTATAGTATTTAACTGGGCTTTCTGCTGGGCTTCAAACTGGGCTTGGGCTTCACTCTGGGCTAATAACTGGGCTTCTAACTGGGCTTCTTCTACTACACTAGTGTCATACAATGAATTAGCTACGTTCAAGGGAGATGTATCTTCTTTGTCCATAAATTAACTTAACCACCTATTTAATACGTTAATAATCATAATAATACTCAATAAAATTCAATAATGCCCTATAAATACAATAATAACTTCAATAATATGCCCTCTAATAAATTCAATAAACTTCAATAATACTTCAATAATAAAAATGCCCTCAATAAATCAATAAACTTCAATAATAATCAATAATAACTTCAATAAAAATATGCCCTCAATAATAAAACTTCAAATAATCAATATGCCCTCAATAATTCAATAAACTTCAATAATAATCAATAAAATATGCCCTCAATAAAATTTAAAACGGTTTACACCATTACACTTATAATCAACTACCTAGATTTATCTTAATATGTCTTAATTATGTTGCATACGTCTATGTAACAAATTTAAATAACTATTCACTCACAATAATGCTGCGTTCATGGCTGATGATGACATGTTGCCGTTGATGATGCTGCTAATGGATTTGTTGGTACTGCAATGTGACTTATTTGTTTTTGGTTGGTTCCTCCTGGAGTTGTCTTCGCTGAAAAGTGATCAATTCCTCGTTGTTGACAGTAGCCTTTGATGGTTGCCTCCCTTTGGAATCCTACCGACTGCGCCAGTGTTACATGCGGCCCTTCAGGGATCCAAAAGCTGGTGTACTTGATAAATAATAATAGTCAATTAGAATGGTAATCAAATGTATTATATTAAACCAGACAAAACAAGCAGAATAATAGTGTTGATTGTAGTGAAATTGTGGCTCGTTCCGAAGTTGATAATCTCCGTGTAAGTCGTGTGTGATGGCTGGGCGGCTAAGCGAGTCGTGTGGTGTTCTCGTCTCTGGATACATCTAACTCAGGCTGTCTCGCTGTCCCCTCTATATATGGTGGCGGCGTCCTTTGAAAGTGAGCGGCGCGTGTACAGTCGCCCTTGATATGGAACTCACGATTATGAAAGTGGTATTCGTAGTCGAAAACACTTTTGGGTGTGGTCGCATTCCTGGTTGTTATTATGAGCAAAATATATGGTATTGCGTAATCCCATTACACTACTGGTAATACTGGTTGATATATAACTGGTGTTCAATTAATCGATGCTACATCTAATGTTCTGCATTTAGTTACAAAACTGATGAACGATGTACCATCAGTTACAGAAAACAAGAAATGTTCTAATGAAAAATGTCAGAATGTTAATATTATAAGAAACAGTCCAACCATTATTTTAAGATTTAACCACGGATTTGAAAATTTGGAAAAATCGTTGGAAGCTTACACTGATCCAATAGTTAGTGAATGTTCAATGAGTTCATGTTTGGGAAATGTGACAACAATAAGGAATCTCCATGAACATTTGTTCATTGATACTGATGCCTTTAGTAATAATGAAAAAGTTCCACTAACAAGTTTCCAACAAAGATGTCAATTGAAAGACTCAAGGTAAATATTATTATATAAATATATTATTTTGTATGTACATTATTTTTTAAATTACTAAATATTAATGCATTTTTTAGTTACATATTCTATGGAGTCGTGGCTTACGGGTTTGATCATTACATTTCTCATATAAAAAGAGAAAAAAAGTGGGAAACGCACAATGACTTACTTAAAAAAGTGCTGACATTTGTTGAAGATAAAAACAAGCTAGTAAATCCACATATGCTTATGTAAATAAAAGAAAAAGATTGAAAAAAAAAATTTTATAATTTATCAAATGTTTATATTAATTTGTAAAATTAAGTAAAAAGTTCTTGCTTATTTTATCTAATGTTTTAAAGTTGTATAATATACAGAAAATTATATTTAAAGGTTTATAGTTCCAAAAATAAACAATTGTTTTGTAACGTTGAATAAATGATTATTAATTGTAATTATTTTTGTCATCCTTCATTCCCGTTTATGTACAATAGTATATATGTAATATATATATACCAAACTAAATGATTTTTGTATCATTTAATTATTATAATTTGGTTACCTTTTTTTTATTTAAAAAAATATAAAACATTATAAGGTCCTTTTAATTAAGAACTATCAATTAATATTATATTAACAAATAAAAACTGTAAAAATTATATTCATATGGTAAAGCGAAATTGATTCACATAAATAGATTTGTATCATTTGAGAAAGTATTAATGAATATTTTTCGACTCAGTTAAGTAAAGAATTTTTTTTTCAATTAAACTTAAAACTAAGGTCATAGACATTTTTAATGCATAAATTAAATTTGAATTAGGAAATAAATTCTATTAACTTAACATGACTTAAATAAATAACAAAAGTCATTAAAAAAAATATTAATTAAAACGGTATTAAAATAACTAATGAGTGATAATCATTTGGAAAGTAATGTACAAATGAATATTATTATGTAAGTAGGTATGGTAACTTAAGGCCTATACGGCTGTAGGCATTTTAAACTTATAGTATTAGTATAGTATAGGTTATCGGGGTGTGAACTTCATGGACTTAGGGATGTTGCGTGAAGTTGGCACCCCCATCGGTGAATTGGATTTCCAGAGAATGACTGAAGTTGCAGATTTACAAATTGTCGTTGCAAGTTATTGCAAAATGGTTGCAAAAAAGTGACACCGATTTGGAACTGATCGGACCATGTCGGTGTGCCACGTGAATTTGGCACCCCAATGCTAGATTTGTCTGTAGCGCCGTAAAAAAAGTGTTGCAAATTTTTTTATGAGCGTTGCAAATTGTTGAAAATTGGTTGCAAAAAAGTGACACCGATTTGGAACCGATCGGACGATGTCGGGGTGCCACGTTAAGTTAGCACCCCTAAACAGAATTTCGGTGAATTACAACAATAATTAATAAAAACAGTTAATACAAATATTAACCAGTCAAATGATTTTTTTTACTATTAATTTTATTTGATATTATATTGATCAATAAATTTAATTAATAAAAATAATTAAAAATCATAAATTTGACGTTCTGATTAACATTGTTATCAACTTTTTTTATTTTAATTTTATTTGTAATAGTTTTTATAAATTAGTTTGATTAATTATCAATATACATTATTTTATTAATTATTGTTAGATATCATTTATCATTCACCCTTAACTAATTTATGATATAAATTAACAGAATAAATACAATCATTAAACATGAAAATAAACTAATTTGACTCCAGTTAACTTTTTTTTAAGGTAACTATAGAAACTTGTGGAGTGATGCATTAAAATTTCAAATTTATTGACAAAACTATAAAAAAGTTTATCGACCAAAAACTAATAAAAATAAAAACGTATTCCCGTTTTACCTTAATTGTTTTTAATAATATAAAATATAAAAATGATAATAATTTTACATAAATTTGGTACTATTTTATATTTGATTAGATAGGTTTTGAGGTGGCAACTTCATGGCAGTTTTGGTTTTGATAAAACATCAAGGGGGGGGGGGGTGGCTATTTTAAATGTTTGGGTCACACCCACCATAATTACATCAATTCAAGCATTTAGTGTAATTTCAATTGAAAAAAAGACATGCAAAAAAAATCCTACAGTGGGGTGGGGAAGGGTTGAGCGCTCCCTTTGCCCACCCCCCTTAAATTCATGGAATTTAGAGGGCGCTGCGTGAAATTCCCAAAAAAAGTGACACAGATTTGGATCTGATCGGACGATAAGTTGACACCCCTAAACGGAATTTTGGTCATGCTGCCGTAAAAAATGCGTTGCAAATTTTTTTACGACCGTTGCAAATTGTTGCAAATTGGTTGCAAAAAATTGACACGGACATGGAGACGATCGGAAAGTTTCGAGGTGCCACGTGAATTTGGCACCCCAATGCTATGTTTGTCCGTAGCACCGTAACAAATGTGTTGCAAATTTTTTTATGAGCGTTGCAAATTGTTGCAAATTGGTTGCAAAAAAGTGACACCGATTTGGAACCGATCGGAGGATGTCGGGGTGCTAACTTCACGCACGTGGTACCGAGAGCAAACAGTTTGGTCAACTTTGCCGATTGTTTACTGATATGGCATATCAAAGTTATTCATCGCCAAAACGCTATTTTGTAGATTTTAATATTTAAAGTGATAAGTTCCCTGGTAAGTGGTAAATGGTAACTGATATTTCCATAATAAAATAAAATTATGGTCAAAATATAAATAAAATAATTATTAATACCTACATTTTTTTATACTCGTAAAGTCGTAACTTTTAAATTTTTATAATATTAAATATTTAACTACAATTTGAAATGTTATATTTCTTGTAATGTATTTCTTAATGTTGTCAGTGTATTAAATTCATTGTTTATATTTATTAAACATTGAAGAAAATAATTAATCTTTCGTGTTTAGTTTTTCTTTTGAAAAGATGGATGAAGTAACCATTTCATGTTTAGGATTGCTCCTTTAAGAGTTTTTTAACCCAGCAGAAGTTATTGACAGTATTGATTTTTGTCTGACGAATGAGGATTATGATTTGTTATTAATTAATCTAATTAGAGAAACACATTTTCGTTCAATTTGGAGTGAAGATTTCATCAACAAATTTACTGCTAGAGATTTTCACAAATTATTTAGAATGACATACATAGGGAAATCTATTAAAAGCATTAAGTGTCAATTCTGAATTAATAAAACCATACACAGGAGGAAATAAGCCTGTCTCATTTCATAAAAAAGTTCTTATAAGTCTCTGGTATTATGGTAGAGAAATGTCTATGCATGCAATTGGTAACCAGTTCGATACTGCAACTTCAACTGTATAATATTGTTCAAGAAGTCACTGATTGTCTTTGTAATAGTATGGCTAAAATATTTATCACTTGGCCCAACATTAAAGAATGTACAATAATTGAAGAAGGATTTAGAGTGAGAGCTAATTTTCCTAGTAAGTTAAATAAAAATTTTGATTATATTACATATTGTCAACTTACTGCCAAAACTCATTAAACTCACTAATATACAGCAAAGCGTTTTCACATTTATTGTTTGTAACTTTTGTAGATGTCATTGGTGCGATTGATGGTTGTCATATTTCTGTAAAAGTTCCATCTTCAGAACAAGACAGCTACACAAACAGAAAGATGACCAAAAGTATTATTGGTCAAGCAATTTGTACATCCAATAAGATATTTACAAATATTTGTGTTGGGTATCCAGGTCGTGTTCATGATGCTCGGGTGTTTAAAAATTCTAAAATATTCAGTATTATGCAAAATGAAGGGCCAAGTGACACGGTTGACCGGATGTGGTAAAGGATAATGTAAGTGACTCAGAAGAACAACACACGAGTTTACTTTATTATGCACTTATATTACTTTAATTACAATCGTAGTAGTAGGTAGTCACGCGGACGCAACAAGACAGTCGGCCCGGCCGGCGGCGAGGTCGGGTGTCGGTGCCGACGTCCGAGTCCCCTCCACCTGCCGTCCGACTGTAGCGCGTCGTGCGGGTGACACGAAAGACGTAGCGGCCGGTATTTCGGCGTTGCCGAAAAACCGACCGCGACATTCTCCCCCGCCAACCCGCACGACGCCGTCTACCTACTCACAGTCCGTCGTCGTCGCTGGCCGGTAGTTCCGACAGCATGTCTACGTCCGGCAGCTCCTGGGCGCTTACCTGGAGTTGGAGGAACTCTTCCTCGTCCGTGTCCAGATTCATCAGGTCGGCCACCTTTGGTTCCTCGCGTAGCGTCCCGCTCTGCTTTAGGTCGGCCTTCGTCCTCACGACTCTGGTGTTGCCGGTGTCGACAGTCGGCGTCTTCCTCGCCAGTCGTCGGGGTTCCGGGTGCCTTACTGGCGGAGGTCTCACCACTCCCCCGTCCAGGGCAATCTGAATCAGAGGATGTGCCATCAGCTCTTGGTGGGTCGCCTCTACGGCCCACTTGGCCAGTGCTCGTCCATCAGCTGTTGTCGCCTCCGGAGTCCGCACAGACGGTTTCGGGATCTCCGCTATGGGCGTGGTCGTTGGTGATGTTTGGGTGCCCCTCTCCGCCCTTGCCTGGGTCCTCCCATGACGCCGCCACACAGCCATGAGGTTTTCCCACGTGGGGATACCCGAGGACCGCCCGGCGAGCCGGCGCGCGTTCAGCAAATTTAGTGCCGCCTGGTCCAGGATCAGCTGGACCACATCTGCCACGGTCCCCCGGTGGGGACGGTAGTCTCCCACTGACAGGTTAAAATCCCCGTTGCGGTTGCATGGCGCGTTTGTTCCCTGGTTACGTTCGGCCATCTTGATTTTCTGCTGTAAACACAAACATGTTTGTTGAAAGTGAAGCTTGACGGACTAATGATGTTAGCATTAATATAATAAGTAATAACACGACAATATGATTATGTATAAGTATAATATATAATAACGTACAACTGGACAATTAAACTGTGACAGTACACACACATCGTATACGCTCTGTACAACGACGTCTGTGCAAGTGAATATTACATACATCAAAGGCCGTATATATATATGCACGACCGAGGTCATGTTACATCCGTAAAGAGAGTGAGTCTTATGCTCGTACATAACTAGTTACTATATTGTACACACGTGTCAAGGCTGACTACATATACTACATATTAATTGTATATTTCAACACCCTCCCTCAATTAATAATCTCTTTAATTGTAGTCACTCCTATGGCTGACCGCAACTTCTCGAATCGTTCCTTAACCAAAGGCTTGGTTAGAATGTCCGCAATCTGGTCCTCTGTTCCAATGTACTGTAGTTGGAATTGTCCCTCTTCGTATTTCTCCCGTATGAAGTGGTACCGTACGTCTATATGTTTTGTCCTCTTATGAAACTCCGGATTCTTAACTAAACGTATAGCACTCTGATTATCTATAAATAAAACTGGTTGTTTGTCACCTGTTGTTGATAAGCTTGTTATCAACCGTGTAATCCACAAGATCCCTTTGACAGCTTCACTGGCCGAAATATATTCAGCCTCTGTCGATGATAACGACACACAATGTTGTCTCTGCGATGTCCATGAAATTATGCTTGACCCGTACCTGAATAGAAATCCTGACGTCGAACGTCGTGTCTGAATGTCACCTGCGTAATCTGTGTCGCTAAATATTTCTAATGACAATTTTGTTTTGTTATTAAAGTACAAGCCATAATTAAATGTTCGCTTGATATATCGTATAATCCGTTTTACCAAGTTTCAATGAGCTTTAGTTGGTTTTTCTAAGTAACGACTAGCAAAGTTTACTGCATATGCTATATCTGGTCTTGTTACCTGTGATAAGAACAGTAAGCTACCTACTGCCTGCCTATAAGGAATATCTTCATTTAATATTTCCGTATCTTCTTTTTGTTCAAGTGTATGTGATTTGTCTATTGGTATTGAAAGTTCCTTGGCTTTATTCGATCCATCTTCGTATCTTGGTGGTTGTACCATGTAAATTTCTTCCTGTAGTTCTCCGTACAGAAATGCTGTCTTGATGTCGAATTGTCGTAGTATTAATTTTTCCACAGCTGCTACTGCGAATATCGCCCTAATTGATTCGTATCTGACCACTGGCGAAAATGTTTCATGGTAATCTATACCATATTTCTGTGAACAACCTTTAATGACCAATCTGGCCTTAAATTTATCGATAATACCGTCACTTTTATATTTGGTTTTGAACACCCATGCGTTACGTAACGCAACCTTCCCCTGGGGCAAATTAACTAGTGACCAAGTGTTGTTTCTGTGTAGTGATTTAATTTCATCACTCATAGCGTGCTCCCACTCGTTTTTCTGTGGGCCAGCTATCGCTTCATCACGATTTAGTGGTTCAACGAACGACGACACATTGGTACCTGAGGAAATAATCTAAGTTTCCTTTTTTAACCTCAAATTCTTTCTCCAAGTTTGTTAAAAGTTTATTTATTATTTCTTCATTGTCTGCAGCGATTAAGCCATCGTCTACAAATCTTGAAAACCCAAGCGTTACGTAACGCAACCTTGCCCTGAGGCAAATTAACTAGTGACCAAGTGTTGTTTTCGTGTAGTGATTTAATTTCATCACTCATAGCGTGCTCCCACTCGTTTTTCTGTGGGTCAGCTATCGCTTCATCACGATTTAGTGGTTCAACGAGATTGGCGACGAACGACGACACATTATACCTGATCGGCGCTTTTAATGTATTCCAATCACGTATCACCATGCCACTAATGTTGTCGACCGTCGTCAATTCGACCTTGACCGGATCGCCCTCGATTTGAGTCTGAGTATCTGTGAATTCTAATTTGTCTGCAATTATATTTTCCAATTTATTACCTTCGTTTTCGAATATAATATCTCTAGACATTGAAATTCTATTTGTTTTCGAATAATACACACGATAACCTTTCGTGTTATCCGAATAGCCAACAAATATTCCTTTTTCACTTTTAGGGTCCCACTTTTTACGTTTTTGCTTTGGTATGTGTGTATATACGACAGTACCAAAAACTCGTAAGTGTTTAATGTCTGGCATTACCTTATAATATAACTCGTATGGTGAGTTATTTTTAACTGAACTGGTTCCTGTTCGATTAAGCGTGTAAACAGCCGTGTTTACCGCCTCCGCCCAAAGTGATACATCCAAATTTTTCGCACAAATCATTGTCCTCGCTGACTCTACTATTGTACGATTTTCCCGTTCCACTTTTCCATTTTGCTGTGGTGTGTAGGGAACTGTTAACTGATGTCGAATCCCGTGTTTTTGTAAAATACCCGTAATTTCTTTATTTACGAATTCTAATCCATTATCCGTTCGTAATATTTTGACCTTAGAACCTGTTTCTGTTTCAACACTTTTTATGAACGTCTCAAAAATATTTTTAACATCATATTTATTTTTAATAAAATATACCGTTCTATAATGCGAGTAGTCGTCTTTGAATAACAAGAAGTATTTTGAACCACCTATAGAGCTTACCTCCATTGGTCCACATAGGTCTGCATGAATTAAATCACCGACATTGTGCTACTCCGTATTACCTTTACTAAATGATTTACGACTTTGTTTACCTATTATACAACTGCTGCACATGAATTCGTCGTCCTTGGCCGAACATACTATTTCGTGTTTCGCCAAACAACTTTTTACGTACTGTAAATTCTGATGTGCCATGCGCTCGTGCCAAACAGACAACCTGTTTTCGACAGCTACCGTCGCGTACCCGTTTGTCGGTACTTCGGCCTTGATGTTTAACTCAAACAACCTTCCGCATCTCTTACCTGAGCATACGGGTTTCCCCTGTTTAGTTAACATACACGTCTTACTATCTGACGTCAATACTAAACCTTTATCCATCGCGGCTCCGCACGAAAATAAATTAAATTTTAGTCCTGGCACGTGCAACACGTTTGCCATGTAATTTTTATTCCAATTACCGTTTACGTATGATAATATATTAATATTACCTCTACCTGCTGCATACAGATTCGTCCCATCACCTATCGTGATTTGTTGAGTGTTGTCCAGTGGTTCATAACTTGAAAACCACTCTCGATTTGCGCTCATATGATCCGAAGCGCCCGAGTCTAGTACCCACGCATCTGTTGCAATGTTATTTATACTTGACTCGCTTACGAATGCGTTCAAGTTCGCACCTATCGTACCGGTTTTACCACCGTGTACACTTTGTAGAAAATTTCTACAGTCTCTTTTATAATGACCTAGTTTACCACAGTAATAACACTTAATATTACTTTTATTAGTAAATTGATTTTTACCTTTTCTATAATTACGACTGCCGTTTCTTCCATCAGATCTGTTTTGAAATTTGGCCGGAAATGCACTCGATTTCTCTTGTTCACCAACTTCACCTTTGATCTGGATAACCCGTGATTCTTCAATCAACAGTCGACTAGTCAAATTATTTATATTTTTACTTCCCGTCGGGACTGAATCCCAAGTGCTGTAAAAATGATTATATTCTTTTGGTAGTGTCATTAGTATTTTTGTCATAACCATGTTATCCGTAACTGGTTCACCCGCTACTCTCAGTTTCCTTCCTAAATTGACCAATTTAGAAATATGCGTCGACATGTCATCTGTCGACTCCTTTGAATAACTGAAAAATTGTTGTTGAAGCAAATGTAAACTTGCCTCAGACTTCTGCTCGTAAATACTCAGCAGTTTCTCCCACATTTCCAATGCAGTCTCACAGTTAATCAAATATTGTAATGGACCATCGTCCACTGACGTAACTATTATTTTCTGACATTTACCGTCCGCTTTTTGCCAAGCGTTTGTATGCCTTTGCCAACGTGCTTTGGCATCCTCGGCGGTCTCTCCTGCCGACTTTTTTATAGGTAGACTTGGTTACGTCCATTCACCTGAAACTATCTCACCTATTTCCAAGGCATTTAGAATGACCTTCATCTGGAACTTCCATAACGACCAGTTTTCCGCACATAATTTTGTTATCTTCACCGTGTCTTCCATGACCGATGGATTCCCGTATACTTTCCTGTATAACAATTTATAACAAAACTTTACCTATGTACACTGTTCCGCCGTTTTCCGAAATCCAGGATATCTCCGACTGGTTGTAGTTTTCTGCGTTAATACAAATATAAAAATACTTCGATCACGAATCCACTAGACTGTTTGTCTTGGTTATTGACTGGGCCCATAACCTGTTGAAAGTGAAGCTTGACGGACTAATGATGTTAGCATTAATATAATAAGTAATAACATGACAATATGATTATGTATAAGTATAATATATAATAACGTACAACTGGACAATTAAACTGTGACAGTACACACACAATGTATACGCTCTGTACAACGACGTCTGTGCAAGTGAATATTACATACATCAAAGGCCGTATATATATATGCACGACCGAGGTCATGTTACATCCGTAAAGAGAGTGAGTCTTATGCTCGTACATAACTAGTTACTATATTGTACACACGTGTCAAGGCTGACTACATATACTACATATTAATTGTATATTTCAACAATGTTATATGGAAAAACGTATTGGTTATGGTGGGTAATTCCCCGATTGTCACATCGTTGGTTTTCCCATCTCGTGTGTGTTGTTCGTATGTAGGTTTTCCCCCGTGGTGTTCGTTAGGGGGAAAAACCCGGAATGTTTTCGATGTGGTTTTCCCCGAGTCGGTAAAACCCTAGGACTGGTTCTGGGTTTGGCCCGGCCCGCATGTCTGTGTGTTCGGGCGTGTCGTGCTGATGATAAGCTAGGTGTGACCTGTCACCGTGTTGCCGGTCGCGCCAC